CCAGGTCACTACGTTTTTTACTGGGAGCTTAAAGAAAAAAGCTTTAATGGCATTGTTAAGCTTGATAATTAAAAAGGTAATGGTGGAATGTTGTTGTGTAATTGAGGAATCATTCGACGTTCTTTATAGAAAATTTCGGACTAAATATGGTTCAATCGGAGCTCTAGAGATAAGGGTGGTGGCACAAGGAACATTTGATTCTCTCATGGAATATTTCATCACCAAGGGTGCTTCTACATCTCAATACAAGACACCTATATGCATCAACGCTCCTCAAGGTTTAGCAATTCTTGAAGACAAAGTTCTTGCTCGGTTCTTCAGCGACAAATCTCCTCCTCTCTGATGATATATGGTCTAGTTGTCTTACATTGGAAAAATAAATAAAGGGACAAAGTTATTCGATGAGATTGTTTTACTAGTACAAAAAATTGTGGTTTTGTTGTACCATATGTTAGGAGTACCTTTCTATATATTTTCCATATCTTGTGGGGGTTGGGGCAATATATTGGCAAAAATCGTTGGCTGTTTAAAGTATGATATTTTTCATGATATTGATACGTTAAAACTTCAAAAACAAATCGTCGGCTCTTCAAAGTATGGGCTCAAAATGGGGGCTTATCCATAATTCATAAACTAGAGTTGAATTAGAGATATAATCAGATATGAGTCTCAAGGATCTAGAGGAGTTACGGTCGAATGCAAAACAAATACAAGACGATGTATATAAATAGTTACTCACACTTAACGCCAACACAGAGTATCGCCAACTGTTTATCCATGGAAGGTATGGTAAAGAGTTCTTAATTAAGCCTTATATCGAGGGTGTCGCGAATGGAGGAGAGCCTAATGTCATTTCGGGAAAAAACATCACTGAATTTTTCTCGACGTATACATTGTATAATTCTATAGAGCAAATTTATCATATGGTTGATTGATCAACTACTTAAATATATAAAATCAAATGTGACATGATTCGTGTGTGTAGCTCTGGAACTTCTGGTGGGAAACAACAAAGATCTTTGAGGACTTGGCACTTATATATATATGCTTAACACTCGCGGATGATATCCAAGTAATTCTTCAGATTTCTCTTCAATTTAGTAATTTCGAACAAGAATATCCATCTCTTTATTTCCGGTTTGTATGCATACCGAGAGGGTGTTCAACAAGGAAAGGAGATGTTGTATTTTTTCTTTCTTTTTTTTAGAGCGACCAACAACCCCCTCCGGTTTGCCAGTTTCTAACTCGGTTACGAGCTTTTTAATTTCAAGAATTGACCATCAAATTGTTATACAACCCTGACGAAGTGACGTTGTGTCCACACAAAAACATGCTTTGTACTGCCATCTTCTTTGTGATCTTGTTTAGAGAGACGAAGTTGTAAGTGTGGCTGCTACCTTTTCTTCTGTTGGAACAATCACCTAGCCATGTTAACGAGTGGATCACTAACCTTAGTTGCTATCCTCCTTGGAGGACATATCGCTGGAAATCTTGGACACGAATAAATTATAAACACACGTCTTTGGCCAAATTGTGCTATATGCCTATATTCACCATTTTTTCTCAAATAAAGTGCTATATTCTTAATTATATCTATCTTTTGCGCAACCAACCACAAAAAAAAAATCTCCATTATTTAGCTTATCTCAGTTTCTTGTTCGCTATCAACCGGAAAATACCAATAATTTTAAGTATTCGGTTCGGAACATTTTTTGGGCCGCTAAAATGGGCCGAAAATTCCCAACAATATTACGCGTGGTTATAAATCGCGTGCGACGGGTAATTTTATCTTTTACTCAATTAAAAAACAAAAACAAAAATCTCGGGGGAAATAAAACCCTAACTGCAACGGAAACTCAGAATCAATCGGACCAGATTCGTAAGCGATGATGGTCGACGGTGATGAAACTGTTGAAGGTGGAGACTCTCAATCATCGGATCTTCTTCAGATGAACACTGAGGCGGCGACGACAGAGATGGCTATCCCGAGGCTGAATCTGTTTCCTAACAACAACCACATTTCCGATAGCTACGACGATATGGAACTGGAATTTAGCTCTTCCATACTAAGATCGCTAGAGAAGTACTTGCCGGTGGATATGCTCACGGCGAACAGAGAAGACAAGGGCAAATTCATGTCAGACATTTTGGGCAAGTATATTTCTCGCGAAGAATGTTCCCAAGTAATGACTCTTTCCTTTTGATCCCGATCTGTCTTTAATCTGTGTAACTGAAATCGATATTATGTTAATGTTACCACTATATATTATATATATATATGTGAGATCTCATATTAAACACATGCTTGTACAATAAGTAATATAGAAATCTAAAACATATCAGAGATTGATATCAGAGACTCAATCGGCTTTTGTTGAAGGTAGATTGATCTCTGATAATATTCTTATTGCGCAAGAGATGTTCCACGCTCCCCGCACAAATCTGTCATGTAAAAGAAAATTTATGGCTATTAAAACAGATATGAGTAAGGCTTATGATCGGGTAGAATGGGATTTTATAGAGAATTTGTTGCGAAAAATGGGATTTTGCGAAAAATGGGATTTTGTGAAAAATGGATAATGTGGATGATGTGGTGCATAAAACCTGTCCAATACAGGGTGCTCCTCAACGGACAACCTAGAGGGCTGATCGTTCATGAGCGTGGTTTACGGCAAAGAGATCCATTATCGCCATATTTATTCATCCTCTATACAGAGGTTTTGATTGCAAATATCAGAAAAGCGGAGGAAGATAAGGTAATAACTGGTATCAAGGTGGCAACGCCCAGCCCAGCGGTCTCTCATTTGCTTTTTGCAGATGATAGTTTATTTTTTTGTAAGGCAAATAAAGAAAAAAGTGGGGCAATTTTAGGAATCCTTCTACAATATGAGATGGTGTCGGGTCAACAGATCAATTTCGATAAATCATCTCTTCAGTTTGGTTATACAGTTGGAGAAGAGGTACAAACAGAGGTGAAGATGGATTTGGGTATTACAAAGATGGGTGGCATGGGATCATATTTTGGGTTACCAGGAAGCCTGGGAGGATCAAAAACAAAAATATTTTCTTTTGTGAGAGATAGGCTACAAAATAGGGTAAATGGTTGGTCATCTAAATTTTTATCGAAGGGGGGAAAGGAGGTGATGATTAAATCGGTGGTTGCTGCCTTACCGACTTACGTTATGTCCTGTTTTCGACTCCCCAAAACGATCACCTCGAAACTAACTAGTGCAATAGCTAAATTTTGGTGGAGTTCAAATGGTCAAACAGGAGGTATGCATTGGCTTGCTTGGGATAAGATGTGTCATAGCAAAGCCAATGGGGGGGGGTGGGATTTCGGAATGTCGATGATTTTAATACAGCTTTATTAGCAAAACAATTATGGAGGTTAATTTTGGTGCCTGATTCACTCTTTGCGAAGGTTTTTAAAGGAAGATATTATAGGAAGTCGGATCCTATGGATCCAATTAAATCATACTCTCCATCCTATGGGTAGAGAAGTATTGTTTCAGCTAGATCTCTGGTTAATAAAGGACTTATTAAAAGAGTTGGTTCTGGGGACTCCATTTCAGTATGGGAGGACCCATGGCTCCCAGCTCAATTCCCGAGACCAGCAAAAAGCAATGGTTCTTTTTCGGAACCGTTGCTACGAGTTAAAAATCTTATCGATACGCGAACAAACTCCTGGAATATAGACATGCTAAAAGCGGTTGTCACTCCGGAGGATGTCCTTTTGATTAACGCTATACCCCTGGGTAAATTATCAAATCCAGATGCTTTGGGATGGCATTTTACTAAATCAGGTTAATATACGGTTAAATCGGGATATCATACGGTCCGTCTAAACATTGGGAAGGATCCCGTTCTGCAAGAATTAGGACCAGACATTAAACCACTTCAAGCTTTTACTTGGAAGATAAAATGTCTGCCAAAGGTTCAACATTTTATGTGGCAAGCTTTAACTGGGTGTGTTTCGGTTACCTCGAATCTGCGTAAGAGAGGTATTAATTGCGATACGAGATGTGATCGGTGTGGAGCTTCATAAGAGACAATTAACCATGCACTTTTTGAATGTCCACCTGCGCGTCAGACTTGGGCTTTATCACAGATTCCAACAGCACCTGATATTTTTCCATCAGGATCCCTATATGTTAATATGGATTACTTATTTTGGAGGACACCCTCGGAGGTCTATACTGAGATGTTTCCATGGATTATTTGCTACTTGTGGAAAGCCAGGAATGATAAGGTATTTAATAATTTGGACCAAAACCCAACTAATATTTTAAAATTGGCAGAAAATGAAGAGCAAGCTTGGCAGTTGGCCCATGTAGAGATCTCGGATGATAACCTAGAAATGGTAACAAATAATCAACCTCCTTCTAGAGTTGAACATATCGAGCAACGTGGATCAGTTTATCGTTGTTGCTTAGATGGTTCTTGGAAAGAAAGCGATTGTTTTTCAGGGTTAGGATGGTTTTGTTCTTATCCAAATGAAGAAGCGTACGATATGGGAGATGCAAATACTCGAAGAAGCTTGACCTCACTCCACACAGAGGTTGAAGCACTAATATGGGCGATGAGATGTATTATCGGCCAAGACAAAAGAGAAGTAGATTTCCTTACAGACTGCTCTGACCTGGTGAAGATGGTGTCTTTCCCGCAAGAGTGGCCAGCGTTCACGGCTTACTTGGAGGCGATTCAAAGCGACAAGGAAGAGTTTGATGTTTTCTCTTTATCGCTAATTTCCCGAAATTTGAATGTGAAAGCGGATAAACTGGCACGAATGTTCGTACCTTACCGCATCTTTCTACTTATGTAAACAATATTCCTACACATTGGCTAATTTGAGCCACTCCAATAAAGCTGTTGACAAAAAAAAAAATAATAATATAGAAATCTAAAACATTATTGGGTTTGTCCTTTTTCACTTCACATCTTGCTCTCCAAGTTATCTCCCAGTAGGAGTTGATCATTTCAAACTGATACGAATCAGAGAATGGTCTTTAGCTTTTTCTTGTGAACACATAGATTCTGGTTTAATTCCATAGTTTTCAGAATAGTTTCATGTGTATATAATGTTCCAGGCGAAACGGCGCAAGACATATAGGCAAGAGATAATATCCAATTATCAGGTGAGGAGCCTTTGCTCATCTTTATTTTGTTTTCTTAGACTTTCTTTATGCAATGTTTCCTTTTCTTGCAGCCACGTTTCAAGGGGTTGTATAAACTTGATCCTAAATTGTTTTTGCTTCCCTCATTCCGCAAGGCGATCAGCGAAAACACAGAGGAAAGCTTCAGACGTATCATTTCTGAACCGTTTCCTGGTGTTTTCGTCTTTAAAATGTTTCAGCCTGAATTCTTTGAGAAATTGCTAGTTGAGGTAATAATCATCTTGCCACTTATTATCTGCTCTTACCTCTCTGTATACTTTTGTTCATTTTCTGCTCTTTGATTAATCAGGTAGAGAATTTCAGAAAGTGGGCTCATGAGAAAAATTTCACGATCAGGAGACCAGACAACACGAGTAAATACGGTGTTGTACTTGACGACTTTGGCCTGGATATCATGCTTAAGCAACTCATGGAGGAGTTTATCTTTCCTATTTGCAAAGGCAAGGATATATTTTACTTAAAACGCATTAGAAAGAATTTTATTGGTTAAGCCTATTTAATAACACTAAACTTCACTCTGTTGTTTTGCAGTATGCTTCCCTGAAGTGTGTGGAACAATGTTTGACTCTCACTATGGATTTTTAACTGAAAATGGTGAAGATAGGGATGCTGACGTAGGTGAGTCCATTTGGTTTTCTGATACCTAGAGAAAACCAGAGTGAATTCTTTAATAGCAAACATTAATCTGGTTTAGTATAAGCAGTGATCTTTTAAATCTGCAGGCTTTCATGTGGAAGATTCAGAAGTGACATTGAACGTTTGTTTAAGTAAACAAGGAGAGGGAGGGGAAATATTTTTCGCAGGCACAAGATGCAAGAAACATATGGATACAGATCCAAAGCCAGAGGTATGTGAGTCCTTTGGAGTAGCTTTCTTTGTCCTGTTACATTCCTATATTCAGTAAATGGTAAAATGGTTAACAAATAAAGGAACAACCTATTTTTCACTGACGCAGGAATGTTTTGATTACTGTCATATACCGGGTCAAGCTATACTTCACCGTGGCTGCCACCGCCATGGTGCCAGAGCCACGACATCTGGTCGTTGGGCCAATATGATTCTTTGGTGCCAAAAGTAAGCAATTTTGAAGCTTGCCTCAAGATTTCAGATTACGGTTGAATCATATTTTCTTCTGCGTTTCCATTGCAGCTCTTTGTTTAGAGAGATGCAAACTTATGAGCCGGCATTCTCAGACTGGTGCGGTCAATGTGTCCATGAAATGAAAGAAAAGGAAAGCCAGAGTCTTGCTGCCAAAAGAAAGGTTACAAAAAAAAAGAAAAGACTTGATTAAATTTTGCACAAGTTTATAAGATGTTTTGTTTGAGCATGGTTATGAACCTATGCGTGTCCTTATTGCAGGAGATGATTAGGATAGAGAGTTAGAGAGTGAAGCTGAAGCTCCACGAAAAAACTGAAGTTTATGCTTTGCCATTTGACTCTTTACTTGGAAAAAATAAAACCCGAGTATATGTAGAATCATTTGATAATTGTATGGCATTAGCTGACGATGCCTAAAAAGAGGATAACCCATTCTAATTTTCTTTTGGTAACTAGCCGTAAATGAAGTTGTTTGAACACGATTACTCTAAAGAACATATCGTCGCTTCTACTTGAATTTGAGCCATGACCAGACTCATTATGAGCACGCTTAAAATCACATTTTTTTCCTTCCATCTTTTGGTTGATTAGTTGTTCGACAACAAAATGTAAGTAGAGGAAACACTTAGAACTTATAAGTTTTGTAATGATATTAAATCATATATATATAAAGTTGGTCAACTCTCTCCATATTAGTGACACATCATTACTTTAGAATTTGACATGTGTCCACTAATAATTAATGTAAGTTAGTGGAACATATAATATTTAATTATACATATTATAAAAAATAACATATTTAATGGAACATATAATATTTAATTATACATATTATAAAAAATAACATATTTAATTGTATTAATACTAATTATATTTAATTATTATTTCTGTTTTCTTCAATGTAATTATTTTATTGGGGTTTCTCATACTCCGAAATTTTTTGAGTAGATTATTCTCTTAAAAACTTTTCTATATAATATATTAAAAATAGTGAGGAGAACTTCAGAACCTCTAACATCAAATTATTGGACTAAAATCCTCAATGATGGAGTTCTTCAGTGATGGAGTTCGTATTGTTTTAGTTGTTTTTGCAAAAGTGGCAACGATAAAAATTTAAAGATGAGAATTATTTTACATTTATGTTTCGACAAATCAATAAGACTTATCAAAGTTTGGTTCTATTTGTTTATTTGCTATAAACTAATAACATCGTTGTTCAAACGAAACGACATAAAGGTGCAGTTGCATCCCTTCTCAAAACACTGCATCCGCACATGTATGGGTCACGCCCAAGACTCGGGTTTTTTTTACTACGTTTTATCCAACTTTACAATAACAATTAAACATAATAGAATTAAGAAAAAAGTATACATATTTTACCTGTGTTTTGAAGATTCTCATCAGTAAAACCTTCTGGACATGTCCCTTCAACAATTATGCAATCACTAATGTATGCACAAGTTGGCGGGGGGATTCCCTGTTCACTGCAGAGCTTATAGGTATATCCCATCTAGTAATCGGGGATGGGCAGCATATCGTCGCTTCTACTTGAATTTGAGCCATGACCAGACTCAATATAAGCACACTTAATATCACATTTTTGCCTTCCATCTATTGGTTGATTGGTTGTTCGATCACAAAATGTAAGTATAGGAAACATTTATAGCTTATAAGCTTTGTAACGATATGTCGATATGAAATGATGATAAAACTAGACTTACTTAAATACTAGTTGTTCTACAATTTCCCACCACAAAACTTCGTTATTTAATATTCGCGGGCTAGTAAAAATCACTTTACCTACCACGTCCAAGCAAATCTGTTTTAAATTAAAAGGCATGTAGAATGTGTTGGGTATGTTTCTTCAAATTGTTTTGGGCCTTATGTTTTCGAAATGGGCTGTATAATTCACGTTGGTTTTGTGTTAATTAAGCTTTGATAAAATCTCTTTCTTCATAAAAAGGAAAAAGTCAAAATCGTGACTGCAACTTTTTCTCACCGACTTTGCAACGTTGAGGAAGAAGTGGGATTGTGAGAGTAAGATTTGGGGGCTGAAATCTCTCGTGAATAGTTGAGATTTGTGCCTATATAAGAAGGACTTTGGTCTTCGATCAGAACGATGAAAAACTCACATCTCTCTTCTTCTATCTTCTTCTTCCTCTTTATTTCAATTTATGGGTTTGAGAGTTTCATCTCTTTGAGTTGAGTGCACAATTCAATTGAGAGCAGAGTGAACCCTGGAGTGAGCCGTCTTGGTTATCTTGCACACCGGGATTAGGCGGTTTTTCGCTCAAGTGCAGTAGATTTTCTACGGCTCTGCAACTTTCGTTCTTCCTCGATTCTGGTTTCTAAGATCTGTTTCCAACAATCTTGAGCGAAAAATTATTTGTTGGTTCCATTACGATTCAGAATGCCGAAGAACTCTGCAGTGCCCGATTTGTCAAAGCTCCAGCCTTTGATTGGCTCAAATTACCGTCGCTGGTCGGAGGAACTCATGTTCTTCTTTCAAGAGGTTGGCTTAAGCTACGTCCTTGTTGAAGACAAGCCAACTTCCTCCTCTGAAACGCCTACCTCCGGGAATTCTCAAGATGTTTTGACACAATCAAGCAAGCCAAAACCGGAAGGAAGCTTTGAAGATCACAACCGCACATGTCGTGGTCATATCATCAGGCACCTCTCGGAGAAGCTGTTTGATATCTATGTCAACTATGAATCTGCAAAGGAGATATGGAACAACTTGAAGAAAAGGTACGGAGCCGAAGATGAAGGCAAGAAGCAGTACGTCACTTCAAAATGGACCTCATTTCAGATGAAGGACGATCAACCCGTTCTCGATCAACTCCATGAGTATGAAGCCATTGTCTCCAAGATTCAGGCCGAGGGTATACCAATCGATGAGCAACTGGCTGCTTTGGTACTCGTTGACAAACTGTCTCCGTCATGGAATGGCTATCGCTCCAAGCTGAAGCATGAGAAAAAGAAGATGTCGCTTGATGAGCTGATTGCAGACATAATGATCGAAGACGCAAACAGAAACTACTTAGGTAATAAAACAGTGTCTCGTTCAATTCCTAATGATGCTAACGTTGTGGAAAGTTCTGGTGGTGTAAAGAACAGGTTCAAATCCAACAAAAACCAAGGAAAGACTCCTCAAAAGTCTAATCCTATTACACCATCTGTTGAATTCAAGAAGAAACTGAAGTGCTGGAATTGTAACAAGCCTGGACATAAGAAGCAGGATTGTCGCTTACCTCCACAGCAAAAGGAGTCAAACAAAGCTCATCTTACTGAAGACCTAATTGCTGTCGTCACTGAGGTAAACGCTGCAATTGACATGGTGGAATGGATCATTGATTCAGGTGCCACACGTCACATTTGCAGCCAGAAGTCTCTCTTTAAAAATCTTGATGAATCTCCACGTGATAATGTCTTCTTGGGTGATGCTAGTGCTTTACAAGTTGCTGGAATTGGAGAAGTTAATTTGAAATTATCATCTGGAAGAGTTTTAACTTTGACTAAGGTTTTGTTTGTTCCAAACATGCGTAGGAATTTAATTTCTAGTGCTTTGTTGATGATTGCTGGGTTTAAGCAAACTCTTGAGGCTGGTAAGTTAGTGATAACTAAGAATGGGGGGTATGTGGGAAAAGCTTTTTGTAAGGGAAATCTCTTTGTTCTTGAAATAATGAATGAAAGTGCTGGTGCTTCTGCTTACTTTGTGAGTGTTTTGGATATATGGCATGGCAGATTAGGACACTTAAATGTGAATTCAATTAAACGCTTAAAGCATGCTAATCTGATTCCTGATAACTTGGAAAAAGATATCTCAAAATGTGAAATTTGTGTGGAAGCAAAGCATGCTAGAAAACCATTTTCTTATCCAGTTAATCGAAAATCTGAATTGCTTGAGCTCATTCACTCAGATTTGGCTGATTTTAAAAACACCACTAGTAGAGGTGGCAAGCATTATTATATCACTTTTGTTGATGATTGTTCTAGATATACAAGGGTTTATTTGTTAAGAACAAAAGATGAGGCTTGTGAAATGTTTATGCGATATAAAGCTGAAGTAGAAAATCAACTAGATAGAAAAATTAAGAGGTTAAGGTCTGATAGAGGTGGAGAATATGAATCTGAAATCCTGAATTCTTTGTGTTTGAAAGAGGGTATTATTCATGAAAGAACTGCTCCTTATTCTCCCCAGCAAAATGGCATTGCCGAAAGAAAAAATCGAACCCTTAAAGAAATGATGAATGCTATGCTTATTAGTTCTGGGTTGCCTGATCAAATGTGGGGGGAAGCTATTCTTTCTGCATGTTATATTCTGAATAAAGTACCTCATAAAGGAATCTCTGTTACACCTTATGAACTTTGGAAAGGTCATTCTCCTAATTTGAGTTATTTAAAAGTGTGGGGGTGTCTTGTTAAAGTAGGACTGCCAGCCTTTAAAAGAACCACCATAGGTCCTAAGACTGTTGATGCTGTGTTTGTTGGTTATGCTTTGAACAGTGCTGCTTACCGTTGTTTAACATTTAAGCATGATTCCTTGCAATTTGATAGCATGATTGAGTCTAGAGATGTTGAATTTTTTGAGAATGTGTTTCCTTTTAAGAGAAACTTAGACTTCGCCTCTTCCCATGATTCAGCTAATATAGATTTTGCTTCTTCAAGTAATGCTAAAAGAATTCATGATGATGCTGAAGAACCTAGAAGGAGTAAAAGAATGAGAACTGAAACTGATTTTGGTCCAGATTTTATTACTACCTTTCTAGCTGAATATGATGAGATTAGTGAAGAATTTGTGTTTGCATTCTTGATAGAAGAAGATCCAAAAACGTTTTCAGAAGCTATGAAAACTGTAGATGCTGTTTTTTGGAAAGAAGCAGTTAATAGTGAGTTTGATTCTATCATGACTAACCATACTTGGGAGATTGTTGATTTGCCTAGGGGGTGCAAAGCTATCAGATGCAAATGGATTTTAAAGAAAAAATTCAAGGCTGATGGTTCTATTGACAAGTTCAAGGCGAGGCTGGTGGCTCAAGGGTTTGCACAAAAACAGGGAGTAGACTATTTTGATACTTATGCTCCTGTTACCAAAATTGCTTCCATTCGCATGTTGCTTGCTGTTGCATCTGCTCATAAATTAGTTGTGCATCAAATGGATGTGAAAACAGCATTTTTAAATGGTGATTTGCATGAAGAAATTTATATGATGCAACCTGAGGGATTTATTATAGAAGGTCAGGAGAATAAAGTTTGCAAATTGATTAAGTCTCTTTATGGTCTTAAGCAAGCTCCTAAACAATGGTTTGAAAAATTTAGTAACACGTTGCTTGAAAATGGGTTTGTTTCAAATGAAGGTGATACGTGTGTGTTCTCTAAAGTGCATGAACATGGATACGTCATTATATGTTTATACGTAGATGACATGCTTATTCTTGGCACATCTCTCGAAATTGTTTGTGACACA